AAATATTAGAACTTAAAGAAAAAATAAAGCAAAAATTAATGGACACGATAGCTAAAAATATGGTTAGACTAAAATTTAAATATTATTCCAAAGGCAATCGAGCTGAAAAGATGCTATCCCAAAAACTTAGAAAACAAAAAGTACAAAATAAGGTAGACAAAATAATACAGAACGGAAAAATAGCACTAACCCCCAGAGAGATTGGAAAGTGTTTTAATGAATATTATTCCAATCTATACAATATTCCTCAGATTAATACAGATGAGGATATTAAAAACTATTTAAATAATATAAAGAAGCCTCAATTAACTTCTATTGAAAATGATTTCTTAAATAAACCTATAACTATGGAGGAGACTATGAAAGCAATAAATGATTTAGAAAGATCTAAAACACCAGGCCCGGATGGGTTTAGCAACCTATTTTATAAAACATTTAAAGATTTAATATGTCCACATTTGACCTCTGCTTTTAACATAGCGGCAAACAGAGGATTTTTACCAGCAGAGATGCTAAAAGCTAATATCTTGCCTATTCTAAAAAATGATAAAAACCCTACTGATATCAAAAACTACCGTCCGATATCTTTAATAGATGTTGACACTAAGTTATACGCTTCGGTTTTGGCTGCTAGAATAAAAAAACTTCTTCCACTAATCATCCATAAAGATCAAATAGGATATGTTCCAGGTAGAAATTCCTATACAAGTATAAGGAAAATTATTAATATCTTGGATGATGCAAATAGATATGATGTTCCAGTTCTGACTCTGTCGATTGATGCTGAAAAAGCATTCGACAGAGTCAGCTGGAAATATTTAGAAGCCGTTTTACAACATTATGGATTGGAAGGTTGGATTAAGAAAGCTATAATGGCACTATATGTAAATCCTGTTGCACGAACTATTGGACCTAATATAGTCGCCCCATGGTTCCAACTTAGAAATGGTACCCGACAGGGTTGTCCCCTCTCACCATTGCTCTACTTGTTGACTATTGAGCCATTGGCTGAGAATATTAGGAATAATAAAGAGATCCATGGTTATAAAATAATGGATGAGGATCAAAAAATTAGCTTATATGCTGATGACATTTTAATTACTCTTACAAACCCTAAAAATTCTTTGGAACGCATAATGCAAGAAATAGAGCGATATAGCTTCATATCAAATTATAAGTTAAATATAAATAAATCCTTGATATTAGATGTTAACCTAAATAAAAGGATACAACGAGAGATTAAAAACAAATATGATTTTATTTGGGTTAAAGAAAGTATGGATTACTTAGGAATTAAAATAACCAGAGAGACAAATAAGATTATGGAAGTAAATTTCCTAACATTATTATTAGATCTCAATAAATGGTTAAAAGATCGCAGAAACCTAGAGATTACTTTTTTGGGGCGAATAAACGTTATCAATTCATATGTTATACCAAAGTGGAATTATATGTTTCAAATGTTACCTCTCCATATCCCAATCCATTGGCTTCAATTAATACAAAGAAGTTTTACTCAATACATCTGGAAAGGCAAGAAGCCGAGATTGAAACAGTCAATATTAGCGCAGAAAATATATAAAGGTGGACTTGATTATCCACTCATAATGAATAACTTTAAAGCAGCTATTACCCTACATGTCTATAGAATGCAAATGAAAGAAAATAAAGATGAGGGATGGTATAAAATGGAATTGAAAGCAGGAGAAGTTTCTAGCTTAGATTGTTTAATTTGGAATATAAATAAAATGCCAAAGAAAAAAGAATATGCCAGTATTATTCTAACTCAATTACTGGAAAATTGGTTAAAAATTAAAAAAGTAATGAATATAGAAAAAAAAGTTCCAAGTTATTTAGAGTTAGATATTGTAGAAAAACAAGTGGAAGACTTAAACTTAAATAATTGGAAAAAAGTAGGGATAACGACTCTGGACCAATTATTGACAGAAGGATTAATTAAAACCTTTGCCCAAATAACAGAGATACATAATCTCCCTCCTAGAGAGGTGTTTAATTTTTTAAGACTTAAAAGCTATATTAATACACATCTAATAATACCAAAATCTAATTTAAGCAATTCGATAGATTTATTATTTACATCAAAAAAAGTTAATAAACCACTTTCTAAAGCTCTAATACTAATTAAATCAATAGCTGAAGACACAAATCCTACTGCCATACAGGCTTGGAAACAAGACTTGAATATCGATATAAATCTGAATCAATGGGGTTCTTCAATGATGGATGTTAAGAAGAATATACATTCATTAAATTTATTAGAAACGCACTTTAAAGTTTTAAATAGGTGGTACTTAGTACCAGCTAAATTGAATAAAATTTACCCTCTAGTAAATCCTATCTGTTGGAGATGCAATAGTATTAGAGGCAATTTTAGACATATTTGGTGGGATTGCTATAAATTAAAAAATCTCTGGTTGAAAATGCAGCATTTTATATCTAACAATTTAAAACTCGAGTTGATTATCTCTCCAGAGGTAGTTCTACTTCATCTAAATTGGCCTCATATGACATATGAATTAAAAGCAATCCTTATACATCTGTTTTTAGCGGCTAAAATAGTAATTGCGAGATGGTGGAAAAGGGATTTAGAAGTCCCCTGGAAGAAAGTTAAAACTCAACTCGAGTTTCAGATTAGAATGGAGCTGATGCTAAGTAAACAAAGACTAAGCAATAAGATTTCTGTTTGGTTAAAGTGTATTGAGATGATTGATGTATAAAATAGTGTCGTTCAATTAACAGTAGAACAATTCCATGAACACTGTAAATAATTATGAGATTTATCTAAATGATATTACCACTCTATTATGGAAGTCTTTCTGATGTACTTTTCTTCTCCCTCCCCTATTTTGCTGCTGTGTTGTTTGTTTGTATTACAAATGTATATTTGTATGATATTTGTATTTGTATGATATATGTATTTAATGAGATTTAAAAGAAAAAAATTTAAAATAAAGATTAAATATTCAAAAAAAAATGCAATCCATATGTAAAAAGTGCACCAAATAATTTTTTGCCACATACTTTGCCATCTATTGGGGAAATAATGGGGGCATGTAAAGGCACAATATGCACCTTATGAGATACCCTGGAGTGTCTACTTTTACAAATGGTAGGCCTTTGTGGGGTTTTTTTGAACAGTCAAACTGTTATAATACCCCAAATGGAAGCTAAGGCTCATTAAATCCATCTCTCAAAATTCTACTGTGAATACTGTAAAGGACAGGTCTCCTATATGGCACTGTAGCTTCACGAAATAGTGCCAAAGACATTCATATGGGGTGTCATTTTACTCAGAAGACTTAGCTGAGCATAATTTGGGGGTTTGAACTTAGTGGCACATATGAAATATACAAAACGCCCAGCAAAAATGCAATCCGTATGTAAAAAATGCACAAAATTATTTTTTACCACATACTTTGGCATATATTGGTGAAAAAATGGGGGCATGTTAAGGCACAATATGCACCTTATGAGATACCCTGGAGTGTCTACTTTTACAAATGGTAGGCCTTTTGTGGGGGTTTTTTGAACAGTCAAACTGTTATAATACCCCAAATGGAAGCTAAGGCTCATTAAATCCATCTCTCAAAATTCTACTGTGAATACTGAAAAGGACAGGTATCCTGTATGGCACTGTAACTTCACGAAATAGTGCAAAAGACATACAATGGGGGTGTCATTTTACTCAGCAGTTGTAACTGAACACAAAATAAAACTTTGTACAGGAATAGCACACACCAACTTTACAAAATATACACGAGAATTTCTCTGTTATAAGTTTGTGTGCCAAAAACCAAAAAGGACACAATTTTACTCCAATATTTAGCAGAGGTTGGCAGTGAAATGGCTAAGTAGAAAGTGTCAAAACAACCTTAGGTAAATAGCCCGTGATGTCTACTTTATATAAATATATACTTTTGTGTGGCAATTTTGTTTTCTTTTATGGCTATTACGCTTACAAGACAAACATACCAAATTCTAAAGTCGCTCCACATTAAAAGTTTATTTTACTCCTTGTGCTTTGTGACCTGTAACTACCAAAAACTTAAAATCCCAGACACATTATATATTCTGTAAATCAGAACAAATAAATAAATTTATTTTTAATTACTTTCCTTAACCTGCACTAATTATGCACACATTATTATTGCAAAAACTGTAAATCCCTCTTGACCCCAGAATGGCAGTCAGATTAATCCTTTAATATTCTTTTTTTTTTGCAAGTATGCATCTAGTTCTTCTTCGGGCAGAGAATTCCATATCCTTATTGTTCTTACGGTTAAAAAATAAATAAAAATTCCTTTGCCTTAGACTTAATCTTCTTTCTTCCAGTCTAAAGGCATGACCTTGTGTCCTATGTAAAGTCCTGTTTGTGAATAGATTTTCACACAATGGTTTGTATTAGCCACGGATATATTTGTATAATGTTATCATATCCCCCATGAGGCGACATTTTTCTAAACTAAAGAGTCTTACCAGTGATTTATAAAGAGACAAAATTATATTCTTATCCTGAGAATTATTGCCATTTTTCATGCATGACAATACCTTACTAGCCTTAGCCACTGCTGATTGACATTGCACATTGTTGCGTGGTTTGTTGTCTATAACAATTTCCAAGTCCTTCTCATGTGTGGCTATCTCTAATTCGCTACCATAAAGGGTATAAATTGCTTGTGCATTCTTTACACTGAAGTGCATAACTTTGCATTTTTCTACATTAAATTTCATCTACTATTTTAGTGTCCAGTACCCCAGTCTATCTAAATCTCTCTGCAGCAAAGTAATATCTTGCTCACATTGTATTACTTTACAGAGTTTTGTGTCATCTGCAAACACTGAAACATGACTTTCAATGCTTTTTTCAAGATTATTTTTTAAACATGTTAAATAGAAGGGGTCCCAGAACAGAACCCTGAGGGACACCACTTGCCACTTCTGTCCAGCTTGAAAATAATGTTACTTTTTATATACCTGGTGGGCTTGAGACATTGTGTGTCTGACCTATATGCTTGTTTGTTCAGGATCCCGTTTTGTTTTCTGGAACCTTGAGGATGAATTTGGATCCATTCAACCAGTATACTGATGAAGAAATATGGAGAGCCCTTGAACATGCCCACCTGAAGCAATATACAGAGGGTCTGCAGGAGAAACTCTTCTATGTAGTGAATGAGGGAGGTGAAAATCTCAGGTAAGCATAGTTTAATCCGAGCACAACCTGATAATATATGTGTATTTATACCATCTTCTGTTTAAGCATTTTCTTGAAATGTCTTCTTGATACTTTAAGGCAGTGGTTCCCAACCCAGTCCTCAAGTACTGGACAGTCCAGGATTAAAGGATTACCCAGTTGTGTTTAGGAAAAAACAAAACAAAACACTTTAGACACAATAGGGTAATCCCTAAATCCAGGACTGGTATTGGGTACTTGAGGACTGGGTTGGGAACCACTGCTTTAAGGGTAACATAAATTAAAGCGAAATACTTTCCCTTCATTATGTAAGCACCCAATTTGTATTGTGGGACAGACATAGAGCATAAATTAAGTTTTAAAGAATTGTATGCAAACGTAAAGGTAAAAAGTACATATCGGGGGTGGGGTTAACTGACGATCAGTGCGGTCGCATGTCTGTCGACAAAGCACAAAAAAGCTTAAAAATAAGGAGCCTTTCTGTAGCACAAACTGCCCTGGCCAGAGCCGATGATGTCCGCAAGCATATGGGGCGGAAGAATAAGAAACCGAGGCCGGACCGGTCCAGGTTTTCAGCCGACATTAGTGAGCTCTTTAGAAGGCTGCATGGTGCAAGCAGGCCGTACATGCTGGACGATTTCTCAGACGTCTCAGATGAAGTTCCCCTGCATAGACCAGCAGACCTGGGCTTTCAGGGACCTCCCACACCCCCTCCGGAGGCAGAAAGCGGCTCAGCCCGGTTATCACCTCCATCCTAACCAACCTCCTGACCGACCTCCACAAAAGCCTCTCTGCAGACATACCCCAAGTACAGAAGGATGTCAGGGGGTTCACAGCCCACTTAACCAAAGTAGAACAAACCGTGCAAGAGCATACTCCCCAAGAAGCAGGTGAGGTAAGGGGCCTCACAACACCTCAGACAAAGTTTGACAGCCAGCTAGCAACTTTGCAGGATAAGAGGAGGTGGAAACACTTGAAGATCAGGGGTATATCAGACTTCACTACTATGGCAGAGATGCCACACTTCCTATGCAGGTTGTTTATGGCTTTACTACCCCCTAAAACAGCAAAGGGTATTCGACTGGATGACATGTTTCGCCTACCCAAGCCTCAGTCTACTACTACCCCAGCTACCAGTGACCTCTTGGTTAAATTTCAAAATGGGCAAGATAGAGCAGCCATCTTACAAGCCACCGGGGGAAGACCCATATACCACTTTGAAGAAATGGATCTCACGTTCTCTGCTGAACTCTCTCAATCAACACTGCAGTGGTGAAAGTCACTGAGACCCCTAAGATCCACACTAATGTCCCAAGGCCTGAAGTATGGCTGGGGCACGCCTAGTAAGCTGATATTCCAGCACAATGGTGCAGAACACAGAATCACAGAAACATCTGAAATATCCTGTCCTCCCTGGGACCTGGTCCTAACCCTCGACCCGCTACAACCACGTGGAATCCCGCCACTGTGGTCCCGTTCACTCCTTGACCCCGAGGAGCAGCAGGAGTAGCCATCACCTGAATACAGCACTATTGGTGTTGGGACTTGTCCCCTTTCTCTTCCTTTCACTTTACTTTTCATTAATGCTTTTTTTGTTTGTTTGTTTAAAAATTGTGCAATTATCCGATTTTGTTAATGTTCTTCATGGATCATCAGTCCTATAACCATTCTGCGCCACAGTTGTCACACTCATGAGCCCTCGCCTTGAGTTAACCTTGAGCTTGCTACCTAGACACCACAGAGATCCACAAAACATTACGGCGCAGGAAAATTTAGAAATTTAAACTGGTTTCTGTTATTAGTTTTGCACCAACACCATCCACCTGTTGCAGCTCACTCTCTTAAGCCACGCTCTGCAATTCATGCACAGAAATTACGTCATCAGTCTACATGAAATTAAGAATATAATAAGGAACATGTTAACTGTTATTATAAAAATGTGCCAATATCTAGACTGCCACACTACTGTTTATCAATTCTGTATCATGATTATGCCTGTCGTTGCTGTCGTGGCAAGACAAGCTTGTGTTATTACCTGTGCATGACAAAAATGTAAGATTTTTTTTAAAAGTACATATATCAAAGAAGCAGATGAATTATAATAACCAAAATATTAACATAAAAAGTAGGAATTCTGTAATGTGACAGTATTAAAACTGTGTTGCCATTACAATGCTGTACAGATACACTGTTATATGCAGTGCCATAATGACATGGTGTACAGCAATGTATCTCATGTTGTAGAGTAGGGGTGACCTGCCTTCAAAATGCTGTGAGCTGTAAATCAATTCACTAGAATCATGGAGTTAGTCATTATTTCTTAATAAACTATATAATTGTAACTTTTGCATGTAACTAGTGAATGTCTTTGACCATTTTAGATCTTCAATAGATTTCTCTCTCGTTATCTTCTCAATGATGAATAAGTGTAGTGCTATCCCAGAGAAACGCAAAATGAGCAGTAAAATAGACAAGAGAAACTTTAAAGTGTGCACAGATAGATGCTTTAGAAAGCATCCAGGACTAGCAGCAATAGCCTAAGTCTCAAGGGCAGATCCTAAATAGTTTTGTTTAAATGCATCATCATTTGATGGCTACGTCCCCATAATATTACTTACCGTAATATGGAATGTGTCTCCTTTTCATTTTACCTGATATTTTACCAGAAATTTGTTCCTTTTCCATGATTTGTAATGTAACTTGTTTCTCCTCTTGGTCCAGCGTTGGTCAGAGGCAACTTGTGTGCCTTGCTCGGGCTCTTCTCAGGAAATCCAAAATCCTCATCCTGGATGAAGCAACAGCTGCTGTAGATTTGGAAACTGACAATTTGATCCAGAAAACGATTCGCAGTGAATTCTCAGACTGCACAGTGCTTACCATTGCACATAGATTAAACACCATTTTGGACAACAACAGGTGAGAAAGATTGTTACACTGAGTCCTCATCACACAAGCACACAACCTCTCTGTGGAACAGGCAAGTCTGAAATGTCAGTGTCACTTACAGTAACGTTTTGACAAAGACCCAGTGTCGAAATGTTGCTGTAACCTTGCTCCAATAAACTTGCCTTGCTGAGCTTAGAAGTGCCTGGACCGTTTTTCTTTCTTTGGATTTAACCTTGTGGGGATTGTGCTAGCTCCTGGTCTTGTTGCACCCAACTTTAGCTCAATCAGGGCTGGATTAACATAGGGGCTGATGGAGCTGCAGCTCCAGCCCCAGGCCCAGGCCCATATAATAGGCCCATTTAAAAAATATATATATTATTTTTTTTTATTTTTATTTTTTACACACTACTCTTGGGTTTGCCACCTGACTGGTATTTTACCAGCACAGCCGGTATTTGGGGCTGCCTGGCCGTGCCAGTATTGCAGTAATACCGGCAATACAAATGCAGATATTTTTCTCAGTATAAATGGAGATTACTCTGCAATACCAGCACTAGCCAGTAGGGGTCACTGTGTGTGGAGAGAGGCAGGGATAGGAAGTTACAGCATATCCCTCCCTGCCTCTCTTACTCACTGATCCGCGGGGGAACAGCTACACAGCGTAGAGAGTTCAGACAGCAGCTCTCAGTCTGCAGACAGACAACAGCTCAGGGAAGTGAAGTGAAGGATGGGTGGGAAAGGCAGCAGGGAAACATGGGAACACTGAGACACTAGGGGACACTGAGACATAGGGACACACTAGGGACGCATTGTCTCCATGTCTCCCAGTGTCCCTATGTCTCCCAGCCAATGTCCCTAGTATCTCAGTGTCCCCATGGCTCCCAGTGTCTCCCAGTGTCTGTGTCCCCATGTCTGTGTCCCTAGAGTCTCATTGTCCCCATGTGTCCCCAAATATCTGTCTCCCAGTGTCCACATGTCTCCCAGCCAGTGTCCCTAGTGTCTCAGTGTCGCAAAATGTCTGTGTCCCCATGTCTCCCAGCCAATGTCCCTAGTGTCTCAGTGTCTCCACGGCACCCAGTGTCCCCTAGTCTCCCATTGTATGTGTCCCCATGTCTCTCAGTGGCCCTAGTGTCTCAGTGTCTCCATGTCTCCCAGTGTCCATATGTCTCCCAGGCAATGTCCCTAGTATCTCAGTGTCCCCATGGCTCCCAGTGTCCCCTAGTCTCCCAGTGTCTGTGTCCCCATGTCTCTGTGTCCCTAGAGTCTCATTGTCCCCATGTGTCCCAGTGTCCCCAAATATCTGTCTCCCAGTGACCTCATGTCTCCCAGCCAGTGTCCCTAGTGTCTGTGTCCCAAAATGTCTGTGTCCCCATGTTTCCCAGTGTCCCCATGTCTCCCAGCCAATGTCCCTAGTGTCTCAGTGTCTCCACGGTACCCAGTGTCCCCTAGTCTCCCAGTGTATGTGTCCCCATGTCTCTGTGTCCATATGTCTCCCAGCCAGTATCCCTAGTGTCTCAGTGTCCCCATGTCTCCCAGTGCCCCAAAATTTTTCAGTGTCCCCATGTCTCCCAGTCTGGGTCCACAAGTGCCCCCATGTCTCACAGTGTCCTCAAGCCTCCCAGCCAGTGTCCCTAGTGTCTCAGTGTCCCCATGTCTCCCAGTGTCTGTGTCTCCATGTCTCTGTGTCCCCATGTCTCCCAGTCTCTGTGTCTCCATGTCTCTGTCCCCATGTCTCCCAGTGTCTCCATGTCTCCCCATGTCTGTATCTACAAGTGCCCCCATGTCTCTGTGTCCCATGGTGTCCCACTGTCCCCATGTCTCACCTTGTCCACGTGTCTCACTGTGTCCCCTAATATCCTAGTGACAAGGGAAACACCGAGACATGGGGACACTGGGAGAAATGAGGACACAGACACTGGAAGACTAGGGGACTGGGCGTCCAATTCTTTGGACAGACATGCCCCTTTTGGCAGTTCTGGTCACGTGATTCGCGTCAATGGCCCACCGTTTTACCCCGCCCATTGACTTCCTGCTTCACTGGACACTGCTGTTAGCGGGTATGGATTTACTTGAAAGATGAAAGCATAAATTAGAGAGAGATTAGCATAGAGTATGTGTATTCTTATAGCTGCATCCTTTGAGTTTCCCTCCAACACCATCTCCATTAGATACATGACGCTTGGGAGGTATGACTGTTTTAGTGTCTTTGCTCGATAAGATTCTGTAATTAGGCCCCATCATAATGGTCAGCACCAGGCCCACTGGGCTCTTAATCTAGCCATGAACTCAATTGATTGAGTACAGTTACTATAAATCTGGTTGTCACTCACATTGACACAACAATTTCTCCAGGATTATAAACATGATGCGCTAATAGGGGAGGTTAAAGGTTCTGTTGTAGTCGAGGTAGTTGGTGTTGAAGGACTTAGGTTAGGGTAAAAAAACGCTGTCGATTTTAACTCTCATCATTCTATGTTTCAGTCTGCAGCATAAGCCAGATGCCCCATAAATATACCTAACCATGCATCAGGGTTATACTTCTGTATTCTACAGCATTACATTACTGCGTACATCAGTGTACTTGGTGCTACAACCTGTTAGTATCAACAGCTTTGTAACACAGCCATCGTATGTTTAATGTGCAACATTGCAGTATTGCTAATAAATGGCTGTTAAGTTTGTGTTGTATTTTTTTTATCATCATCAATATTCTTACGTACTGCTTTAGAATTTCCAATATCCAAAAAATAAATAGGAACTACTTTGCCAAGTCCAAGTCCAAGTTTTAAAAAAAAGCTTGACAAAGGCTATTGTCACCTGTCCTTTTTTTTTTTTTTTAAATATATATATATATATATAGATATAGACCACAGTGTAGTAGTGCTGGGCATGTGTTGGGGGAGGAGTTTCATACTGAGAATTTGAAATGTTGGCTAAATAAATCCCCTTTCTTTTTTATCATAGGGTAATGGTTTTGGACGCAGGGAATATTGTTGAATTTGGAAGCCCAGATGAGCTATTTAAACGTCAAGGAAACTTCTATTCTATGGCCAAGGATGCTGGTATCGATAGTGCTTCAAGTACTGTATTTTAGAAACAGACGTGCTGCAAATTGCAAAAGGCAAAGAATATGGAAATGTGTGCCGGCAGCTCAGACATCACATAACATAACAAAACCATGTTCACATAAATGCAACGTGACAAAGGAGCTAATGATTTGGACAAAGTCCTTAACTGAATGGACTAAACAGGAGTGGTAATGCTGTCGTTGTCTGCCATTAAACTTTATTTCAGTGATGTGTTGGCACACTGTGTTCATAAAACTCTGGCAGCATTCACGTGGTGTCATCAGCACTTACTCCAAATGACTGCAGGCTAACTATGACTTCCACGCTGTGTTACCTGTTAATAAGGTGGCCAGGAGTAGGTATGTTTTAATTATGAGAGAAACTGTTATTATTAAGAAATTGGGGTGCATATGATGTAACCAGTCAATAAACCCATGTTTTTATTTATACTATTTTCACGTTTGTTGCTCTGTTGGAAACACCTTGAATGTTAAAAATCCAAATGGAATGTGAATATTCTGATATACTTTGTTGCTCTAAAACATTTTGGGTGGCAAATGGCAATACTTTGGTATGCTGCATGCCTCATATCATTTGTATTTGAGGTGCGCATGGGGTGTGTTTTCCTAAAACTTCCAAAACCTTATTAAGTATGTATAGGATGAGTAAAGGCAGATCAGCAGTGTCAGCCCAGGTACGCATCAGCAACTATTAATTCATTTTCTGAAGCAGGCCAAAAAAAAAAAAAAGAGAGAATGAAGCTTCCGTATAATTTAACAGGGTCCGAGTGCTGAGATAGAGATGAGAGAAAGTGGCAGGACAGACTGAATATTGACAGGTTCCGAGGGCTAAACAAAGGAACATGTTTAACCCCTTAAGGACCAAACTTCTGGAATAAAAGGGAATCATGACATGTCACACGTCATGTGTCCTTAAGGGGTTAACTATCTTATTACGGCCGCACAGTGTTCTTCAGTATAGTGTGAATTGTCAGAATTTAATGTGAATTACTTTTTAGGAGAAAAATGACAGAACTTAAACTATGGACAATTTTTCCAGTTTGGCTTTTCTGGGAGAGAAAATGTTTCAATTCTGCCAGCTGTTACAGCTGGACAATTTCTGCAGTTGAATTTTCAATTCATATTTAGCTAATAATCCCCCCACCCCAAGTAAGCACAGCAACTCACACTATACTGAATGGTCCTGACAAAACAAAGTGCATTACCAAACTCTTCTGGTGAATAGGATTTAGCCTTGGATACTACAAGCTTGCTTGCACAAAATGTGTTATACAATTTTTCTTTGTGTACAGGCCCGGACTGGCCATCGGGCACACCGTGCAAATGCCCGGTGGGCCGCGGTGGCCATGGGCCGAGGCCGTCAGGGGAGGTCCCAGGATCTCCCCTGCCGGTCTATGCAGGGCCGGCATTCTCCTAGCGCCGGCCCCGCTGTTTTCCATGGAGGGCCGGTGGGGAGATCAAAGATCTCCCTCACCGGCCCACATGCTGTCAGATCTGGCCGCCGGCGGGGAGAGAGGGAGGGAGCCAGCCAGCCAGGAGAGGAGGACCCGGCGAAGCTCTAACTTGCAGCTCCGCCGGGTTCCTCTCGCCATGGCAACGCGCCGGATCTCGCAAGAGTGAACTCTAGCCCCACAGGCTACAGTTCACTCACCCACGAGGACCACCAGCGAACACTGCCTCCCAGTCCCAGGTGCCAGCGTGCCGGTCCCCCCCTCCCAGGCTAACGGTAAGAAGGGAGGGGGGGATTTAATGCCTGTTTTTTGGGGGGGTTTTTTGCCCCCCCCAACACACACACAATCCATTCTAACATTTATACAGCACTCTCACACCCATCACACACAGCACTCTCACACACAGCACTCTCACACACACAGCACTCACACACAGCACTCTCACACCCATCACTCACACACAGCACTCTCACACACATCACTCACACAGCACTCTCACACCCATCACACACAGCACTCTCACACACATCGCTCTCACACCCATCACTCACACCACTCTCACACCCATCACACACAGCACTCTCTCACCCATCACACACAGCACTCTCTCACCCATCACTCTCTCACACGGCACTCTCACACACACATACTGCACCCCTCACATACACACAGAACCCCCCCAACACACTGCACCACACACATACACAATACTTCCAAATAAATAAATATATATATACACATATACACACACACTACACTCTTAACATACACACTCTGGATCCCCTATACACACACTAGATTCCTTGTAAGCAAACACATACTACACCCCTAAACACACACTACATCACCTATATACGCACACACACTATAGCCTGTATGCACACACTTGCTATATCCCCAATACACACATTCTCTACAGACCATAACCACATATGCATCACATTACACCACTTTACACCACAAACACAACATGACTAAAACCAACCTTATCACACAATACCACACCACGATCAGCTCACTCTACACACACGCAATACCACAAGCAGGCTCCAAACACATGCACAATACTCTTTCCTGGCATCCATTTATAGAGACACAAGAGACAAGTTGCAAGGAAACACAGTGCAAGCATGTTTTTAAATTTGCTTGCCCTGTGCAGAACAAATACAGAGCATTTTTTCTCATGCTAGAGCTCTTCAGCAGAGCTCTGCGCATGGTCTGCCCTGGGAGAGCATTGAACATACATGCTCACTTTGAGAGGGGCGAGTTTGTCATAGGTGATGACAAAACACACCCTCTCTGCCCCGCCCCCTTCTTAGTGGGCCGCTGTGTTAAAAAAAATGCCCGGGCCGAATTTTTCTCCCAGTCCGGCCCTGTCTGTGTATGAAAGAAAAGGGGGGGAAAAGACATACAATGTTCAAAGACTAACCTTTATCTCTCAAATAAAAGTTCATAACAAGAAAACCCTAGTGTGTCTTGCATTTTGTATCTATGGGAATTGTTCTATACATCTTGTCATTGTATATCATTGCTATGGCAAGAACTATCTGTAAAACAAATTACAAGGACACAGGCAGTGGGTGAGACTGTGCACGCTCCTATTTTGTTAGCGTAAACAATGTACTACAGCCCAGACAACTTATAAGCTTTTTATATTGAGCGTGGCAGCTAAATTGAAATGTAAGGATTGGGGACAGTTTTATTCATTATGAAGTAAATACAGACATTAGCAGTTTATGGTAGGGGCATACACACTAAAGCATGCTGCGTCAGTGCCTTCCTAATCAGACTACAGGCAGCTGCCCACAAATGGTTTCTGTAATGTTCCTGAAGGCCCCATTACAGACACAAGTAGTGAAAATGTTTTGCTGAATGTATATTGTTATAGCTTAGTGTTAAAGAAGGGGTTATTGATGGAAGAATGGCTATTGCTCTGTATATGTTCAGATCCGTGAAAAAGGTTAACAGATCCAAAATAAATTATTTATTTTTTAAATCGCTAAGTAACTTCTATGGAAAAGCATTATTGAAACATATTATATAGGTATCCACTTGTTATTAATGGCGGCCAGAAATGTTTGCTGTAGAGCAAGCATGTCAAACTCGCGGCCCACAAGGGACATCTTTGCGGCCCGGGGAGCCGCAAGTACATGCCCAGTGTTCCAAGCAGAGTAGGCACCTGCTTTCCCCACATTACAGGTGCCTACTCTGCTATAATTTACCCGGCCGGGGAGGAGGGCCAGTGAGGGAGCTCAGTGTTCCTGCTCCTGACTGCTCCCTAATGCGCGCCTTCTGTAGTGACACTGGGCGCTGGAATATGACGTCATATTCTGGCACCACTAAACCGCGCGAGGGAGCAGTGAAGAGCAGATAGAAGGATCCCAGGGAGATGCCCCACATCAGCTTCAAAAGGTAGGGAGCAATAAAGAAAAGTATATGTGTGTGTGTTAGTGTCAGTGAATGTGTGTGTGTGTCTGTGTGTTGGTCAGTGTTGCATTGGCTGCAATTGGTCAGTGGCGTACCTGGTGCATGGAGGCACGCAATGCCACATTCCGAGGTGACATCAACGTGCTCCACCTTCACAGGGTTTCAAGAAGTAGCAGGAGGATCAGATCTGGCACAGGGTGCGGACAGCACCATTTGGGGTTTACCAGAGGCCAGACTCCGGAGTTGCATACTGGCAGCGGCAATGTGAGTGGAGTCTGCTTGTTGGCTAGATGGGGGTGCTGGGATTTAGTAAAGGAGAAGGACTGGGATGCAGTATATGGGGGGGGACTGGGATTTAGTATAGGGGGTGCTGTGGTTTAATAGAGGGGGATGCTTTTTTTAATACTGTAATTTTCAAAATAAACCTAAGTTTCTATGAAAATTTAAGGGTTTTTTTTTGTGGCCCACATAGACTTTGAGTTTGACATGCTTGCTGTAGAGTATAAAGTGCTTGCCCTTCATCTTCTCATGTTTCCAATCATGCTCCATCCATCACACAACTTGCATGTTTGTCTCTAACATTTGTTTTTTGTGTTTATGGCAGGACTGTGTGTATGAGGGTTACTTTATGTTCATTGTGACTGTGTGTGAGGTGACTTTAATTGTCAGGTGGATAAAATTAATTACCTGGTGGTCCAGCAGTTTTCCTAGTGGTCCGGTGGGCCACCAAACAGGATCTGCACCTCTTGCTGGATGGCAGACCCCTCTGGATGCCCTCTTCCAGTTTCTGAGAGCAGCTCTCTGTAGATGCTTCCTTCTGGTTAGAGGTGCTGCCTGCACTTACAGTGAGTGCAGGTAGACCTGTAGGTCTCCAGCCCGTCCGGTACAGCTGTGGTAGAATTGTAGCACCATAATCATCTGAGGCCATGGGGGAGGGAGGTAGGAACCACCTGGAAAAGAGTGTTATTCCAAAATAGTGTATACACGATTGCAGGATATGCCTGCATACCCAGAGAATCGTGCATATACAATAGTTAAAAAGGAAAACTCCAAACACAAAACGTTTCCGCTTGCTGAAGTGCTTTGTGTAAAGAGTGTATACTCTTTACAGACATCCCAGCATCCAAAAACTCATTTCAGGGAGGTGGCTGCAACACCCCATGTGCGACCCTCAATGCTCCCCCATGCTCGGATTCACACATGGGCCCCCACACACAATATTACAACTATTTATACACTAACACATGCACACATCTTGACACACACTGGCATAAACACACTGGCATAAACACAACTGACACACACTGGCATAAACACAACGTGACACAGATGCACACGGGCATATAAAAATAATTTGACACAGATACATGCACTGGCACAGATACCCAATCGGGCGCACACACACTCAATCTTCTTACCGTTTGGGGTCTGGGCAGGAGCTGATGGGAGTGATCATGCAGCAAAAGCTCACTCCAGCCTCTCCATGCTGAATGTGGTGTTGATGCCTCCAGCTTCCTTCCTCCCACGCGGCTGTCTTTTTAGCTGTGAGGAAATGACAGGATATAATACTGCAGGGGTCCAGTCAGGCTCTTAAAGGGCCAAGGCACCCACCCTTGCCCCTGCTAAGGAACAATACCCATCAGGTGGGTAATGAGTAAAGGGCATTTTATGAGGGCATTTATCATGTGTATGATCCTGGAAATCAAACACCCACAATCTGACACACACTGTATGTCAGATTGTGTGTGTGATTTCCAGGATATAACATGGAATGCGGGTGTCAGGGAGCCTCATTAAATATGTGGGGGTCTCCCGGAACTACCGGGAAACTTGGCATGTCTTTCTTTTGTTTTCAAAAAAAAAATAGAAATTGGCACTTTTATCAATGAAACCTGCTACACCTTCCTGGCTTTCAGACTGCCCATCCTGTTACCGGTCAGTGGAGCAAAACTTAAAAGGCAGCAATTGCGCAGAGCACCTGCCTTGCAAAGACTTCTCATTAAACTGCATTGGAAAGACTGTAATTTGGACAGCTACAGAGTATCTGGATGGGGGAAGAAGGTAAGGGCTTGCAAAGGCAATGGAGTGCACTGTGCTTTGATGTACTGAGGCTGCAAAACTGGAGCACATCTGTGAAAGGTAACACCCAATTTATCGATAAAAAGGCATCGATTGTTCAATAATTATAATTTTGAAAGCATTCCATGTACACATCACTTGCAAGCGAATTCTTTAGGTAGATAAACTAGGAACACCTATTACTTATACAGAACTGCTGCATTGTCTACATAGGTGAGTTTAACTTCTGAGCTACTGCACCACAACATTCTAGCCATATTCTGTATTCAATAGAACAAGGTAAAAAGCCAGTTTTAAAGCTTACTTCTTGTCGACTCAATGCATGCCTTCGGGTACACCTGTAACTATTTCATAAGATACACTCGGGTTTTCCCTGAGTCATTGTTTACACAACAAGCTTACACGGTTTAAATATTGGATACTGAGAAAGAGCTACCTAAAGGCAACACTCCAGGTGTATTAGCATTTTACAGATCACTGGTCTTAAAGTTCCCTGGATTTTCATTTTGTTGATTTAGCCCTGTATTTAACCAATATGAATTTCTGACATTGCAAAATAAAATAATGTAGAAAGCCACACCCTTTATCCTGCAGTTGGGCGCCTCCATCTTAGCTCCCTATCAATCATTGTTATACGTTCTGTCCTTTGCACCTGACAGACAGCACAGAGAAAGAATACAGAGAATTAATAAACTGTTTGTATCTTTCCTTTTCATTTGCGATGTTTGCCCTTGCTTCATCGTCAGAACTGCATTATGTCACTTGTTAAATGTTTAGGTAATTTTATAAAGTTATAGGAGATTTTCAACGTTCTAGAGAAGTGAAATTTGATTTGATTAAATCCTTCATTACAGACGAGCCAGAAAAGTCATATCATCATGATGGTATTTGCCTCCTTTTCCTAAAGGAGCTTATGTTTAGTGGGCTATCTCTGGAAAGCCTTGTTCAAGGTGTGATATATCAAACAATGCAAAACAAAAAACAAAAACAAAAAACACCATAGGACAAGCTATTAAGATGTAGTCAATTACAGATGGGACGGTCACGCAGTTCCCAGACAGGATAGCGTCGGAGTTTCGCTTGTTTTACACTTCTCTGTATAACATTCCGAGGCTGACACTGCCGGAGGGGATAGCTGACAGACATGACAAGATATGTCGAATCCCACGTGGGGGCACGACTACAATGAGGGGAGTCGGAGGTCCTAGCTACACCGATCACGGAAGCAGAGGTAGCGGGAGCAATCAAGGCCGCCAAAACAGGCCATGCATCAGGCCCTGACGGCTTTACTCTTGACTACTATAAGAAATTCCAAACCATATTGCTGGACATTCCTTATGGCCACGCTTCAAGAATTGGGCTTAGGGGAGAACATGATGAAGTGGATTGGTGCACTGTTCCAATGCCCCAATGCGAAGGTGAGAGTGAATGGAGCGCTCACTGACTCTTTTCCGATCCACAATGGGACGAGACAGGGATTCCCACTCTCCCCCATGCTCTTTGCCCTGGCCCTTGAACCGTTCCTAGAGGCTGTATGCAAATCGGATGAAATCCCGGGCTTCAAAAGCGGTAATACAGCACACAAAGTGGCTGCATACGCAGATGATCTTTTATTCGTTATTACAAATCCGGAGACAACAATGTCCACCTGGTTACTTTGCTCGAAGACTATGGGGAGGTCTCGGGATTCAAACTGAACATGAACAAATGCAAAGTACTCAACGTTACAATCCCGACAGCCCAAGCAGACGCATTAAAAAACCAATTCCCATTCCGATGGTGCACGAATCACATGCAATACCTGGGAATAGCACTCATCAGAGACCTGCGAGACATGTACCGAACAAACTTCTTACCACTGCTACAATGACTACAACAGGATCTGAAGACATGGGCATACTCGCACATATCGTTGTTCACCCGGATTGCAATCCTCAAAATGAATGTACTACCGCGGATTCTATATTTATACCAGACGATCCCTCAAGCCCTGCCGACAGCATACTTCACGTCACTCAGATCCGCGATGGTGAAATTAGTTTGGAATGGGAAACAGGCAAGGCTCCGACAGGACATCTTATGCTGTCTGCTGCGAGCATGGGGGGGGGACTAGCGCTCCCTGATTTGTGCAAATACCATCATGCGACAGTACTACAGCAGGTACTGGAGTGGCATACAAACAATGGATTGACCTAGATCAGTGATGGCGAACCTATGGCACGCGTGCCACAGGTGGCACGCCGGGCCCTTTCTGTGGGCACGCGGCCACAGGTCCGCCATCAATGCAGAGTAGGCGCCTGTCTGCCCGAAACGGCAGGCGCCTACTCTGCTTCCGGGTCGGGAGGCAGGGGGAGGGCTCTAGGAAGCAGCTCCCCTGTCCTCCCGCGCGATGCTGTGTGGAGCGTTGCCGCGCGTTACCATGGCAACGCTCCACACAGCATTGCGCGAGAGGACAGGGGAGCTGCTTCCTGGAGCCCTCCCCCTGCAGTGCTTACCACCACCGGACCACCAGGGATGGCTGTGTCCCCCCCCTCCCCCCTCATTAAAGGTAAGAAGGAGGGGGGGGGGGTATACTGACACAGCACCCTTACCCCCCCAGCAGTACCCCTACCCCCCCAGCAGTAACCCCTACTCCCCAGCAGTAACCCCTACCCTCCCCAGCAGTAACCCCTACCCCCCCAGCAGTAACCCCTACCCTGCCCAGCAGTAACCCCTACCCCCCCAAGCAGTAACCCCTACCC